CACAGAATAAATAACTTGCAAAAAATAATGTCCCATAAATATCACAAATACCCCATTTGGCACTCGGGAAGGGTTCCTGAGAACAGAGCTCTAAACAGGGTCATCATAGCATTACATGAATGGAAATATGTAACTGAAGGCATTGTTTCTTATCTTTGAATGATGTATAAGTGCTGTATTTAAGTACTGGTATATTTAACATAAATTACTCACAATATCATCATTGCTGGAAATTTTTTTTTATTAGTCTTCAATCTTGTTTGGTTACAGAGCTATCAAATAGAAAATCAGAACTCTCCTGCCATGCCCACCTGTCATATCCTTTCAGGATTTGTCAATACATGTAGTTCTTTCTTACATTTATGACTACATTAGTTATAACAAACAGACATGCAAGGTTTTCGTCTAATGAATGACGTTTTACATTACATTGTTTACATCACTGAATGAATCAAATCCTCTGCAACTAAATGGATGTCATTTTCCAAAGTTTATTCTGCCAAATGAAGGCAAAAGCACTCCAACATGAAGGTGCAAGGTTAACCGTTCCTTACATACTGGACCAGATAAGAAGAAAATCAGGAGGGAAACAAGGTATTTTTGTGAAGAGTGCGATGTCGCTTTGTGTCCGACACCATGCTTTGAAATCTATCATACCAAGCATAACTATTGACATTCAATCTGTGACAGTGGCTGAAACAGACTATTTTGTCACGTGTATGAATGATTTATCATAACTAGTGGTGAAACTAAAGGTTATTGTGAAGTTCTCACACAGTGTTCTTTGCATACAATTGATGTTTTGTAATAAAAATGTTTTCAAAAATTTATTACACGGCAGCCAAAAAATTCTAAAAAAAATTGTCAACGTTAAAGGAGTTAAAACATAAATAACACATAATTAACTAAAATCTAAAATTTAAACCTAAATACATTTTAACTGTCTAACTAACATATTTCTAAATGATATACAATTCTGAATGCTAGCAAGGAAAAAACGGCAACAATGCTAAGAGCAATTTCATGAACTTTGTAAGGAATTCTGTGTGCCCATTTGAAAATACCTGTTGGAAGATTGTAGTTTAAAATGAGCTGTTTCTATTGGTTATAAACATCTACACAAATAGATAGAGTGCAAAATCGCATGACTGTGTGTAGAAAGTGGATATAGCTTCTGTCAAGAGCTTCCAAGAGATTTATTTTTCCTTTCTCCAAACTTGCACTAAAGAATTTGAAAGAAGGATGTGTAAACAGAGTAATTAGCCTAATTTATGTCTAGATAGCCATCTAGTACATGAGAAGAATTACTTAAGGTACAGAGACCTAAAGTTATGATTTGTGAAGGCTTGTGCATCACAGGACAACAAAACCAAAGTTTAAAAGATTCTTTCAAAGTTTTTTTTGAAATAAAGGAATTAAAACATAGATAATAAGAAACATTGAAATGCTAATTTCACTGACATACATTGATAGTAAAGTTGCTTAATTAAATTTTGAATGTAAACTCGGTAAAACCTTGTGACATATTCAGCAGAAAGGGGACTAGAAACCATAGGGTTAAACATGCATGGTGTAATCTAATATGTTTGCTGAAAGCAGCTGTGAAACACTAAGATACCTAAAGCTGCTACAATATATAAACTGTAATTGTGTGTTACAAATTGCAACTGTTGTAGTTAAAAGATAATGTACAAGGTTTTACCTACAAAAACACTTGATAACCATTTAGGAGGTTATGCAAATCAAATATGAAAAGTAAAATCATAAGTATTTTCATTTTAAGCATGAAATCACCTTTTACTCAGACTCAGTAAGGACTTCACAAATTCATAGACAAATCTTTAGTAAAAATAATTTATTAAAAAGTGATTTTTTTGTGTACATAACATACTTGCAATATTTATCAAAAGCTGGCCAAATTTCATGAACATGCACTTAGTACATTCAAGAGTTTTAAGTATATATAGTTTCAATGTTATAAGGTTGGTTAAAATGACAGAGCCACTATAATAAGATATAATAAGTGTACTCACCCCTCTGCAAAATAGTGTGTCATACAAAATACATATTACACTTACTTTCATACTCATTCTTTCTTCTACCAAGCAACAAATTTGGGGCCAAAATTTTATGTTGTTACCTGGTTCATCAATTGACATGCTGCTGACTTCACCATTCTCAGGAAGAGGAACCAGTTTGGGAGTTTGAGCTTCTGAGGTGAGGGTGGCTGTAGATGAATCATCATCATCCAAGAAGTCTTTTTCTCCTCTATCTTTCTGCATTACTTTCTCAAATATATCTTCATCATTACTGCATAGATCAAATAAAGAAAAAAAGAAAGAATATTAATTCAACCACTGAGACTTTAAGCATCTCAATAAATTATATCCTTATATTAAATGCAAAGTGATTCAACTCTCTAAATACAATCATACTCAATACTAAGCTTACACATAAGTATATCCTACATATACCTGTAACTTTAACTTATGAGAAATATGATTATAGTACAAGTATTAAATATATATAAACAAAACTTTTAATAAAAAAACTTGTCACAATTTTTAACTTTGCAGAATTCATAAAACAATGAAAATTCTCAAACTTATAGCTTATTTGTGACTTTTGTTTTTTGCTCTATAAGCAAATCATAACTTACGCAGTCATTTCAGCAAGAAGAGCAGCTCCATCTGGTGGACCACATTTTCCTAAAAAACACAAAGCTGGGTCCTGCCTCATGACATTGTAGCGTTCATATCCTTAAAAAAAGATAACAACCTTGGTTATAAAACAATTTATGGAAACCTTATAATTTTTTTCAGATGATTCATATTCATATAAACAAGTTAAATGTGAAAATTACTCATGATTCTCATCCCAAAGAATATTTTATTCTACAATTAAATATAAACATCAAGAAGCTTACAAAAATTTAAGAGATCACTTTTCGAAATGAATATAGCAAATAGACAATATAAGATCGAGTGATAGTTTATCCTCTTTATTTCCATGTTTTTTTTTTTAACATAAACTGTTCTCATTTGCCTCAAATTTCCTAAATACAGCTCAACATGGTACATTTTAGGAATATATGAACAATTTTGTTTACCTCAAGAGAAAACAAAACAAATATTTTCAAAAGCATCAATTGTTGTCTAGCATCCTCTTCACATTCTTGTGATGATCCTCTGGGTGTATATATATTTATGGCCATCAGTCCCATTTCTCTGTAAGGGTGTCATTCTGTTTATGGAATGTTATGGGCTGAACAGAGTGGACTGAAACAGATTGCTAGACTAGAAAGAATTTCTGATATGCTGGATTGGGTTAATGTTTAGAACAGGTCAGTCCATATAAAGCTGCAACTAATGGCATTGTGGCACAGCCTGATGAAATATCTAAAACCTTATCCATGATAATGTTGTGAAAGTTGTCTCCACGCTCTTGCATGAGGGTGTTAGTATTTAAGCCCAAACCTGGGACTAATATATGAAAAGCAGTAGCATCCAATTTTGAATAATACAAGCCAAATGATCTTGAGTACAATCCCCAGGGTTTTGATTTCACCAGGATTCTAATAATGACTTTCCATGGTCACCAACCAGTCTCCTCAAGCTTACTGCAGAGTTTGGATTAATACAAGAATTCCAGATATACTTAAAAGTCAAAAAAGAACTTCTTTGTTACCACAAAAAGATCTGGCAAGCTTGTATCATCAAGAAGCAGTATTTTCCACAAATTCATAGCTATGTTTGGCCAACTCCTTAAATTTTTGTGAATTCTTTGCCACTTCCAACATGGAAAACAACATTTTGGTTCACAATTCAAACAGTATCAAGACAACACTGAAACACTTCAGTAAGGTGAAGTCACATTACAATTCCTTCAGACTTAAACACCTTTTGACATAATCGGGCCATATTTAGAGTATTTTAACTTGTCAGGTATTTATATACTACTTGTATGAAATCATATACAAATATTCACAAAAATACACCAAAATTTAACAAAAATCTGGTTTTTTCCCACTTCTTGTGGCATACACAATTTGATTCAATTATTTTCACATCGATTTTAAGCATTTTAGAATATTTCAGATATATTGGTTTAAATTAATATTAAATCTGACAAAATTTTTTTTATGAAAAACAGCCTAAAGTCTCCATCCAAACAATAACCCAGCAGAGTTATCAATCTGAACAATCAGAAAATAGAAAGAAAAAAAAAAAACCCAACTGAAAAACAATCAAGGAAGGAAAAAAGTACAATATTTTTCAGTGTATAAGACGCACTTTTTTTTCCCAAAAAATTTGATGTCAAGATCTGCTTGCATCCTATACACTGAAAGTATGAATAATATATGTGTATATATACGCCATACTCAAGCAATGTGTAAATATATTTAAATAGGCCTG